CCTTCTCACCGCGAAAGGGACTCAGGGCGGCTTAAAAATTACAGCAAAAATTCAATGCCACATCGTGCACATAGCAATGAACATACCATATAAAATTATAAAACAATTAAAAGAGTAATAGGTTAAAAGCTTACAAGTCCCACATCATAATTTGCAGACTTCATAGATTTCCCATAGTTGTTATACAGAATCCTAGGTTAGAATGTATGCATGTGCATATGTACATGAGTGTATGTGTATATGTATATATGGTGTATTTTTTGGGTTTTTAACTCTGTTCCGCTGGGGTTTTGTGCACGCTTGTGTGTTTATGGGTGATGGACACTCGTTGGACTGTTAGGTATATTGTGTCCAAATTTGGTGTCAATTCGTCCAGTGGTTTTTGAGTTCTGTTAAACCCACAAACGGATATAACATGTTTATTTATATAGACTAGCCGTCCCCTGCCACGCGTTGCTGTGGTCCACATGGGGGTTCTGTGTGGGAGGTTTGGCCCAATTCTATTGTTGGTGGGGTTCAGAATGCTCTGTGATTGTAGGTGAACTATAAATCCCAGCAACTACAACTCCCAAATGTCAAGATTCTATTTTCCCCAAACTCCACCAGTGTTCACATTAGGGCATATTGAGTATTTGTGTAGAATTTGGTCCAGATCCATCATTGTTTGAGTCCACAGTGATCTCTGGATCAACTCCCCCTGAAATCTACAACTCCCCCTGAAATCACAGGTCCGCAGTTTGGGGGTCCTCCTGTATTCTTCACTTACGTTTGAGGCTCAGGCGTCGGTGGAGGCCGGGAGGGCCTTTGCACAGTTAAGACTCGTGCGCCAACTGCGACCGTACCTTGGGAAGGTGGATCTGGCCAAGGTGGTCCACGCCTTAGTCACCTCTAGACTGGATTACTGCAATGCACTCTATGTGGGGCTTCCCTTGAAAACGGCCCGGAAATTTCAGATGATCCAATGGGCAGCAGCCAGATTGTTAACTGGGGCTCCTTACAGAGAGCGGTCATCCCTCCTGTTCAAGGAGCTCCACTGGCTGCCATTCATTTACCGGACCCAATTCAAGGTGCAGGTTCTTACCTACAAAGCCCTGAACGGTTTGGGACCCGCCTACCTGCGTGACCGCATCTATGTATACGAATCCACACGATCTCTTCGTTCATCTGGAGAGGTCCTGCTCTTTATTCTGCCAGCATCGCAGGCGCGATTAGTGGGGACGAGNTCCTTACGGGTAGCTAGGAAGAAATGGGAGAAACCTTGTGCAAGGAGGAGGGTGGGGCCTTCCCCATCAGAGAATAAGAAGGTCAGCTTTAACTCCTTGATTCTGTCTCTGCAGAAAAATGTCAAGATGGATACAAAAAAGCCGCAGGTGAGTACCACCTCCCCCGTTGCAGGTTTACTCCTGAGCGGTGAGGGCAAAGCCCTGGCCTGCCAGAAAGGAGCAAAGCAAGGAGAGATATTTAATTGAGAAGAGCGGCTGCAGAAGGCAGCTCCATCTTCACTGGCTGGATCCAGTTCATATTGTGAAGTGCTCCTAGATGGGCAAGGGGAGGTGATGTTGGGCATTCTCTATATGTTGAGCAATGGAACCGCAGTGTTCTCATAATATACATATGCACATGTACATATATTTGTGTGTGTATATATTAGAGCTGTCCAAACATTCGGACGTGTTTGTAAGTCATAAGTATTTTGGTGGAATTTGTATGCCACCCCCACCAAATGCAAACTAATCAAAACACCCAAGTTGGTTAATTTTTGTAAGTCTCCATAAGTCAGCTTGTTTTTGAAGCATAAGCAAACTCTCCTGAGAGGCAGAGCCAAACTTGCTCCATCACATGCTCTCAGCCCATCAGGACTACGGGAGAGGAGCCATGCTGCCTCTTTCGCCATTGTGAGAGGGAGATCGAGGGAGTTCATTCGGTCTATTTTCCACTGCTTTTGCATACAACCACAGCTTACGATCCCTTTAGGATCATTTTCTTTGCACGTGTGGGATTTTTTCCCTTTACAAAGGATTCATTTGGGGGTGGGGGTCTGGAGTTCCATTTACTAAGGATTCATTTTTGGGGCTTTCTATTTACTATTGTTGCACTCCAGAACAGGAAATAGCCCCTCTGACTATAAACACACCACACGTTGAGTGAAGGAACAATCCTTTTTATTAAAGCTTAGCAAAAAAGCCAGTAGAAATAAATGCTTGTAAAGATAGATAAGATTCCAAAAAGCAATAAGGCATTCAGAGGCAGCCAGATAAAACAGTGTCCAAACGTAACAATCAAAAGCAATGTTCAAAAGCATGAAAATACAATCCAAGGCACTGATTATCCAGATAGGAATCAACCAAGAAGCAAGAACAGACCAGACACCGCTAGTCAACTTGAAAGGCTAGAAAAAATGAGACCACTTGAACAGGAATTCCACGAGGCTTGTGTTTGGTTTCCAAACAATGCCTGATCTGACAAGATTTTCTACAGGCAAACCTGTTTCTTCCCCTCTTTCTTTTGATAGCTTAGTGCGTTAACTGAGTTCTTTGATACTGAGAAAGAGTGACTCAGCCACGGTGCTGAAATTGAAAAAAAAAACTCCTAAAAATCAGTGGACATGCAGATCATTCTGAAACTGGAGGAATGATGCTCTGGTTATGTTGTGTCATTGTAGAGAAATTCAAGGTTTCTTGTAGTGGGTTTTTTTCAGTTATTTGTAAACTCTTTTAACAATTTCCCCAAAATCAGTGGATGAGCAAAACATTATGAAACTTGGAGGCTTACAGTTGTAAATGTGTCCTACAATTGTAGCAAGTTTCATCCTGATAGCCATAAAAATGACACCGAAACGAGTCCTGGAAGTGTTCCCATTGGAGTAAATGGGCAAAATAACGAAACAAAATAATAATGAATTTTCAGAATTTCGAATGCAAAAGAAAATGGACCCCTTATAATTGTTCAGAAATATGAAACAAAATGGGGGGTACAAATTTCATAATTCAAAATGAAGTGGATTTTTTGCATTACACACACACACACATATACAAAAATATGCATATTTTGAAATGTTAGGATTATTTGATAACTCTGTGTATACATGTGTGTACATCTTTGTCTTGAGAAAAAGAGATAAATCAAACTTTTCCTGTCCAAGGAACTGATCCAACTGTCTTTTGTTTCCTTTTCAGCAAGCGACCAAGGATCCAACAGCTCTGGGACAGGTAAGTGTTAAGTGATTCCCACTCCCAAGAGTACAAGCACTTGCAAGTCGAAAATAGATTCCCTACCAAGTCAGTGCTACTGTTTGATCCCCACATTTCCCCACTCATTTATCTCCCAACCTTGTGCCAAGTTTCACGTGATTGAAGGGGAAGCCTTCCCTCCCCTCTCCCGCTGTCCCATTAAGAGCAATGGCCCAGAACTGGAGACTGAAAGGCACGGTCTGGTTCCTATCTGGCACCTCAGGGGCAAAGAGTTCCCAGACTCTGGAATTCCAGCTACAAACACCGCTGTGTATGGCATGAGGTCAGCTAGTGAAGACACAGCCCATTTCAGAGCTTGACAAAATACAAGTTGCAAACTGTTATCCAAACAGAACTATGTTAACATAAACCATGTAAATATACTGCATATAAACCACACAAAGAAATTACAAGTCTGAGTGCTACTTGGTTATCTCGTAGTCCTTGAGAAAGTAAACTGTCTTCAAAATACAGTCCAAATAAAGTCCAAATAGTTCAAATTGCTGTCCAGTTCAAAATATTATCCAAACTATAATGCGACAAGGATCCTCGGGTTGAGGTTGCCTTGTTTCAGGGGACTTCCCCTTCTTCAGGATTTCGTCTTCTTTATAAAAGTGGGTGGTTCACCATACATCCCTAAATGAGTGATAACAAACAACATAATAGATATGCCAAAAAGGCACCCAAACCGGAACATTCAGAGATAATGACATGCATTCCAGTGAGAAAGACTACACACATGTTATTACTCGTTATTAATGAGACGACGCTGGCCCTACAGTTTGGTCTTCGATCGTGAGCAATGCAATTACACAGAAGCAAGGATGTAAAGGCAAGGCTAGTTACAGTCAGCTGGAAGGTAAATTATAAGTAGATAAGGTAGATAATAGGGCTTATTACAAAAAGCAGCTGAGGTCCAGTCTATCATTAAGGCCAGTAGGAACCACTGTGTTAAACTTAAAAATCCAAAATGCTTCCCTTTGCAAAAGGTAATTCTTAGTATCCATATGTGGCTTAGTGTGGATTTTTTCTATGATGCAAAACTTGAAGCTGGTAGATGTATGTCCTTTCTCCAGAAAATGAGAATAAAGAGCACTATCATTGTGTTTGTTTTTTATGCATGAGCGATGTTCCATGATTCTGACCTTGACAGATCTACTTGTCATGCCAATATAAAGAAGGTCACATGGGCATAAAATACAATATATAGCATTTTCCGAGGAGCAGGTAGTAAAATCATTTAAAGGTATAGTAATCTTCATGGTTGGGTGTATGAATTGTTGAGTCTTCAAGGATTTGGAGCAACATTCAGTGTCCACAGTAAATATGTCCTCTAAGACTAGGTAGACTTTTAATGGTAGGTTTAGTGAGAATGTCATCTTCATACTGAAGGAGAGGCTCACTCAGTTTTCCTTCTGTCTCTTTCAGGGTCTGCGTTGCCCATCTAGCAACCTCAAAGCAGGTAAACAGCAGTGGGAGGGGACAGGATCAAAAATCATGGGTAGGAAATCCATCTCTTATTTGGAGGCAAATCCCACCTCTGAACTTCATTCAGAAACGAATTGGGGGTGGGGGGAGTTCAGAGGGAGCAGAAGGGTGCTCTGTTATAGGGCAGAGGTCCTTTCGTGACACTAACAGACCTCATTAAACAAAAGAGATGTGTTCCTGCTCACTATTTCCCGTACAGAAAATTTGGTGCCAGAGCAGAAATAGCACGGAAAGGTTAGGAAATAAAATGAGTTTGACATTCTTCAGCAAACATATTGTTAATTCAAAAGAAGAAATGATGTTTTTCCCCATTATAACCCACAAAGGATGCCCCCCACTCCTCTGCTTACAAACCCTCCTTGAGATCCTCTTCTTCACCCATTCTTCAATCTAGATAAAAATTTTTCCAGTTTTGTTTGCTTGACCTCATTCCTGTTTTATTCTCCCTAGTATAACTGGCAAATCTGCCATTCAAGGGAAGAGATGAAGAATACATCCACCTAAGCACTTTGAGGATCTCTCCATTAATCTTCACCTTTGCTCCACCTGTACAAATTTTGAGAATATTTTTGGTGTCAGGGAGCTGGGCGTGTGGTGATTTATGATTTTTCTTTTTGCAATAATCAAGCATTTTAGGATGCATTTTGCAGCTGAAAGAATGAGCTTAGCTTTTTCACCTGATTAAAAAAAATAGTTTATTGGTACTCTGTTTAAATTGAATGGATCTACTCTCCATGAGAGGAAAAAAATGGCTCTGGAATACATGCCTATTGCTTGCAATCCTATTAGTTACTTCTGTATTATGAGCACAACCTGTCTCTTTTTGGATGTGTCCAGGAGGATATTCTCTGTCCCTTTGTGCCCACCCAAAACCTGTTCATTCTTGAAGGGCCATTGCTGCTTCTGCTTGATGGCAGAACGAGGAGGAGACTCCAAAGAGGAAGAGACCAACCCTGGAGTTCTTTTTTAAAAATGTGTGATGGGTTGTTTTGAGAACTTAATTAATTTTCTAGCTCTTAATTCTTTTAACATCTACAAAATCAGGGGGGGAGATACGGGTTTTTATATACACAAACGCTGAATGTTTTTCTTAGCTTGTTGCATCCATAAAAATTGAGCTAATATCTTTTTATTTTGCTGTATGATCATGTATCTGACCTTTTAAATGCCTGTAGTCATTCTGAGGGCAAAAATAAAGAGAATTTCCCCCCTTTCTCCTTGTTGCTTGTTTCTTCAAGATAGATGTATTGTCATTTGCTAAGGTTTTATCACTTTCTACATTACTGGCTGGGGTATTCTAGAACTGGAGTCCAAAAAGTAACTTTTCTAAGGTCTGACCTCAGCTAGTAAGACCTGACTTCATCATGAGAACAGTTAAAGCCAACAGACTCACGATCCTTCTGTCACCAGACTTTTTGTCTTTCAGCTTCAGAAAAACTTATATAGATTCCAGAAATCAAAGAATAGTAATTCTCATTTTATTCTGAAAAATACCCACTTTTTCTGGCTCCCACATACTGGAAGATCAAAAGCAGGAGGCCAAGTATAACAAAACGTTAGGTAACGAGGGACCTTTTATACTGTCAAGGGGGAAAATATCACATCCCACCTGCTGACGCTACTCTAACGAAACGAGTTGTATTATAACTCAAAAATAAAACACACCGCTGGGCACCAATTTAAAGGATCATAGTTATTAATCCCACAATTGGACACCACTATGATGGAATATGATTCTGGCACGGAGCGTTTAAGTATGTGAGAAGTAACGTGTATATACTTTGGTAGATTCGCTGCCACCACCTAAAATACTTTAGGATATTACAAATGATTTCCCTGAGGTAAACTACTTCCTGCCCAGCAGCTCTCCCTTCGCTCCCTGAGATGACTGTGATGTAAAGATGTTAAAACAGCTAGAAATTATTCCCACAGGAATGAATCACTACTGAGGCTTCTTTAAAAGTTGAACTAGAGAAAATGTTTATTGATAAGAACAAACAACTATCTTCTTTAATGAGGCACACAAGCTTGAATGGTTACTGAGGCACAATATTCTTGATGGTTACTATAAGCAGCTTATTTGACTTAGATACGAGTAAAACTCCTCACTCTACAATAACAGTAGCAGGGAGTTCCCCAGACTAACCTAACCAGGTTGTCCACCAGAGCAATTAGCTACACTCTAAAAGCTACTCTAACCCAGAGAGCTAACCACTTGTGTAAAAACTCACACAAGCACCCAGGTGACTACTTTGACCACCCTGGCCAATAATGCAGCCTTGCCTGTGCTCTCTTACAGAAAAATCTAAGCTCAAAAATCTACCTCTCCTCTCTCTTCTGTTCCCAAAACCAATCTCCCTTCTTTCTGCGAAGCTGACACTTTTTCCTCTCTGGACTTAACTCCTCCCATCTGTCCTAACCAATCCAGAGAGATCTCCAGCTCCTCCCCTCTTCTCCTTTGACACTCCCAAGATGTCTGCTTTCTGCGCCCACACTCCCAAAATGGAGGCCTGTCTCACTGACATCTCAGGCTCCTACTTTGTCCTACGAGGTAAGAATCATTACACCAAGCAGCCTCAACCATTACTAAAATTTTAGTTAGAAATTGCATAGCATTTCTTGTTGGAGAAAAAAACTTTTTGATGAACATGTGGAATATTGATAGCACCTGGGTAGTGACTGAATGTCATGATACAATAACTAAGGGATGTGGTAATGGCTGAATCATAACCATGTGAGGGTTATTGCAAAGGGGTTGCATCAGCCAGTGTCCCTTACTGATTACTTATCAGCAGGTGGCTACATACGGAGGATGGAAGAATCCATCTTTCTCTCTCCTGTGTGACTTGGTGTGAGTATCTGTCATAACCATGCGAGGGTTATTACAAAGGGGTAGCATCAGCCAGAATCCCTTACTGATAACCCTTCAGCAGGTGGCTATATAAGGAGGATGAAAGAATCCATCTTTCCTGTGTGACTTGGTGTGAGTATCTGCCTATGTTGGATGTGACTGATTACTCCGATTGTTGCAAGTACAAGACAGAAAGAGGATCTGCGAATCCTGATTGTATATTTGTATATATTGCAACTGTGAAGATTAAAGCCTCCAAATATTTTGGATGGAAACCTGAATCTCTGAGTTTACTAAACAATGTTTGTAGATAAGGTCAGATACTGGCAGTTGGACTCTGCTGATAGGCGGGTTGAAGCATGTTTTTGCTGTGAAAGGACTCAACTGTATTTTGCTTGCTTCTGGGACACTTGATATCCAGTTCACAGTGGTTCGGGGAGGTCATGATTTGGAAACTATAAATCACGAACCTGCACCCCCCCCCCCCCCACAAAAGCATCAGGAATGGGTTATGCATTTGTTGATGGACTCCTCCATCTTCGCCCAAAATATTTTGCTGAAGGGAAGAAAAGAAATGGGAAGTATTTGTATCTAAGTTGTGTGTGTGTGTTTTGTTTTGCTTATCTTCAACAGGTTTTAGGCCCAGAAAACCTTGTCAAAACAGGAAGCGATTTTTAAGACATTTCTAATTTCTGAGCCTAAGAGTCTCAGTGACACTGATCCCAAATAAATGTAACTTAAACCAACACATCCATCACTTTTTGTTTACCTGGATCACACCCCCAGGTGTGTTGTCTAATAATGAGAAGGCCTATTGTCATACCATATCTCCCTGAAATTCATGAAGTTGCCATAAGTTGACAGGCATCTTGGAGGCACATACATACAGGTCACTTAGATGTGTTCTTGGGCTTCCTTTCAAAAAGGGTACCAGTTTGCCAGATACTTACTTACTTAGTTAGGCGATCCCTTGTAGTCCAGGGATGATGGCCCTCCAACGTTGGTGTTCTGGTGGTGGGTCTGTAGGTTGTTGTGGAGCCCTATTCTTGATTTGCATCTTCTCCCACAGTGAGGGCATCGATTTCCAGTGGAAGGTGTTCGCGGTCGGGGTTGGCTTGACGTGCCTTCCTCTTGGCACGTTTTCTCTTTCGCCCCCCATTTGTGCCTCTTCAAATTCTACAGCACTGCTGGTCACAGCTGACCTCCAGCTGGAGTGCTCAAGGGCCAGGGCTTCCCAGTCCTCAGTGTCTATGCCAGAGTTTTTAAGGTTGGCTTTGAGCCCATCTTTAAATCTCTTTTCCTGTCCTCCAACATTTGGTCTTCTGTTCATGAGTTCTTTGGGAGATGGTGGTCAGGCATCCGGACAATGTGGCCGGTCCAGTGGAGTTGATGGCAAAGGGCCATCACTTCAATACTGGTGGTCTTTGCT